ATTTAAGTGTTTAAGTGATCTAAAATTCTGCATCATTTTTACATTTTGCCACTACATTACATGTCATTTTGTTGCGTTTAAGGATGACAACAATTGGAACAACAATGGATCAACAACCTAATACTACTAACAAACATGAAACTACAAATGCTGCTAAAATTCAGAGTTCAGCTTTAAGGTTCAAAAGATGGGGAAGAAAAAGTCCATTTATCATATATTGTGATTTACATGTGATTCAAATGTGAATCACTTATGATACATGTTAATCATTTGTGATTTACATGTGAATCACATGTAATTCACATGTAAATCATCTTAATTATTTTTTTTCTAACCATATGGTTTATTTTAATGAGCTTCATGAATCACTTGTGACACATGTGAATCAGTTGTGATTTGCATGTAATTCACATGTAAATCATCTTAATTATTTATTTTTTCTAACCATATAGTTTATTTAATATGTTTCATTTTAGCAAAATATCACAAGTGAATCACATATGAATTACATGTGATTCACATGTAAATCACAAGTGAATCACGTGTAATTCACAAGTAAATCACAAGTGATTCACATATAAATTACATGTGATTCACATGTAAATCACATGTAGTTCACATGTAAGGCACAAGTGAATCACATATGAGTTACATGTGATTCATATGTAATTTACATATATATCACATGTAATTCACAAGTAAATTACAAATGATTCACATGTGAATTACATGTGATTCACATGTAATTCACAAGTGAATCACATATGAATTACCCGTGATTCACATGTAAACCACAAGTGAATCACATATGAATTACATGTGATTCACATGTAATTCACATTTGAATCACATATAACTCACAAGTAAATTTCATATGAATCACTTGTGATTCACATATAAATCATAAGTGAATCACATATGAATTACGTCTATATGCACACATGTACTTTTGTGACTTTTCTTACATTAATCAGTTTTTTTCTATTTTCTTGTAGATTTAGAAGAATTTGTGGAAACTATTGAAGATGTGAAAAATGATAAATTAAAGAAAATATAGAAATCTTGATATGAAGACATGGAAACACTTTCAAATTTTTTAGTATTTTTTGTTTTTTTATATTTCATTTTGTATTGAATAAAATAATTGTATTATTGTATTTATAGATCATAAAATAAAAATGGATTTTTATATGATTACTTACGAATATTATAGTATAAGAAAGATGCATATATGCACTTGAAAAATATGCATATATGCACCTAAAACATTGTTTTTTTTTTTTTTGTTAAAAAATTAGTTTTTTTTAATTTATTGATTTTTTTTTAAATTAAAAAAGTTAACAATAACAAAAAAAAAAATTAACATTAAAGGAGATCGGTAAGATGACGATCATGTCTTTAATGATATAATTTTGATCTAACACTCCACCTTTATTTCTCAGGTTCTCAGAAAACTATGAGTTCTCAACGGATCACACCCCTATATATATATATATATATATATATATATATATATATATATATGTGTGTGTGTGTGTGTGTGTGTGTGTGTGTGTGTGTGTGTGTGTGTGTAGGACTAGGATAGTTTGTCGTTTCATATATATATATATATATATATATATATATATATATATATATATATATATATATATATATAGGTTCAGTTATTTTGTTATTACTAACTATTGTATATCAGAATGCACAGATCTGGACAACCGGATAGAATGAATCAAATGTCATTATCTAAGGGTCTATGATATTATAATAGGATAACATATACCATATAATCACATAAATTTCAACATAAGAGCATTTTAGTCAATTAACCTATATAAAAAAAGGAAATTTTCGGATTTTTAGGGATAATTAATTCCTTTATTTTTAAAATTTTGAATATTTTAGATTAATTCAAATTTAAAAATCCGTTTTTATTCTATTAGAATGATAGTATGTCAACCATAAACTAGTAAGTATATTTTTCGATTTTATTATGTCAGAATGATAGAATGCTAACCATAAAGTAGTAAATATATTTTCAATTTTATTATGTCAGAATGACAGAATGCCCATCATAAACTAGTAAATACATTCTGAAAGAATGCATAATCGATTCTTGAACTAATAATATACCAAATAATTACATTGTATGATTGTGATTCATTGAATAATAACAACATTCTGAAAGAATAACAAGTGTAATTCTTAAAAGTAATAACATTCTTAAACAGTGAGTGTGATCATTCTTTAATTCACTCTTCAAGCCTTTCCCATCAGGTCTTCAAGCCATTTATATCACAAATTCATTGCCAAATATTTTGTAGTGATACACTTGTAACAACAGCACATTAAACATATAAATAATTAACTACAATTCTATAAGAATACAACAATAATATTCTTACAGAATAAACTATTCTTGCATAATGGTTTTGAATATTCTTAAAGAATTAGTATTATCAAGAATATACCCAACGAACAAAACATTTGAAATATAAATGCATGAAAAGCTCATGTTAACACAAAAGGTGACTAAGAAAAAAAAACAATTAGAATATATAAACCATCTTCGTAAGGGAACAATAAGTATGAAGAAGACCCTCCAAGGGTAAAAAGGTCCAAATAGATAGTATCTATCCCACCGGGTGTAAAAACCCACCTTTGTTTGCACCTGCAACTTGTGTTAAGAGTCTATCTAAGTTAGAACAGAGTGTTAACAAACAAACCACGAGTCTTTACATTAATTAGTGATGCTAAGAAACACATCAGTACTTACGTATTTGTTTGTGATCACCCACTGGTCAAGGGCAAATGGTTCAAGCTAGGCCAAGTAATTCATACATTCAAGTGTTATTGTTCAATGGAGATATGTTTAGTTCAGAAACAATTATTGTTCAATAGAGATCTCTTCCCAACAGAAGCAATCATAAAGTATCTTCAAAACTAGGGTTTTACTTCAATGTTTTCACAATATGGAAGTCATATAAAGAAATAGAATAATAGAGCTAGAGGTAGTGTGTGTGTGAGGGGTCTTACACAGGCGACAACGCCGGCATCGACAACTAGAAATCCATTAGCTTTGAAGAGGTTTGAAACAGTACTTTTCCCCATCGTAATTCCTCTGGTCAGTCCGATTACCCTCATTTTTCCTTTGAATTCACGTATACCTTAAACCCGAGAATTGTGATCTGGTTAGAAGCAATAAAAGTGAGTTTTGACCGAAGTCTTTCCCTTGGGTGCTCCTGTGATGTTTGGCCGTGGGTGGTTTAGGATCGATTACATAACACGAAGAATCGACGATGGAGATGATGATGGTGGTGGTCGGCAGGCAAGATGATGATGATTGTGGATGATGGTTTTTAAAGAAATATGGGGAGAGGGTGGTGGTGTTATATATATATATATATATATATATATATATATATATATATATATATATATATATATATATTAAAACTGATAACCTAACTTAAAGGAGGATATTATTTGATTTTATCAATTTACCATAATTAATTATAGTAAAGATTACTATTATACATTTATATTTATTATTAATGATTTATTTTTTCTTAAATTCTAATTGGTCCATAGATGTATACATAGTTGCTGAAAACATTTGAACCTAGCTCTCTCTCTCTCTCTATCTCTCTCTCTCTCTTTCTCTCTCTCTCTCTCTCTCTCTCTCTCTCTCTATATATATATATATATATATATATATATATATATATATATATATATATATAGAGAGAGAGAGAGAGAGGAAGGATCATTTGAGAACTCATAGTTTCCCGAGAACCTGAGAACTAAAAGTGGACATTTGGATTAAAAAAATTAAAGGCTAAGATCCTTTATTACATTCTTGTAAATAATTGGGTAAAAAACATGGGAGGGTACCTATAAAAAATGTAACATAAGGACATTTTAGGGATAAACCCAAATAAACATATCGGATCTCTCTCTCTCTCTCTCTCTCTCTCTCTATCTATCTCTCTCTCTCTCTCTCTCTCTCTCTCTCTCTCTCTCTCGATCATTCCTTTTTCCCGATTCTTCACTGACTCCATCGACCTCCTCCCTAATTCCATTGGCACCTCCCTCCACCTCCGCCTCCGCCTCCAACGTCCACCCCTACCTGTATCAACGACCAACACGGTCTAGGATTCGTTGTTGTCGATCATCTCGACTCCATTGAAGGTGAGGTATCTTCTCCTTCATCCATACATCTGTAGAAACCACTCATACATCGACCTACCATTCTCTTCACCGAAGATCCTCCAGCCTCCCTCTCATCTCTGTCAAGCATCGATAATTCATCATTAATCGAAAAAAATTGATTAAGCTCATGGATCGCAAATACCAACCACCTCCATCTGCAAATCAGAATCAATTTCTCGCCTTTTGTTTCGATTTGAATTCTCTGGTCGATGTTTTTCCTCTAAATCAATCTAGTTTGGTGAATTTGTTATGCATTACAGCAATCAGAAGCAATTGTAAATCAACTCATGGTCGTCTTTTAATCCTTAATTAGAATCCAATGCCTCATGTTGATTGTGTTTCTTAAAGCTATTTTGAAATCATTGATTATCTTTTGATTATTTATTTATGATTTATTAATGGATCTTTGTAATTTTGATTACCTATATTCCTTTGCTATTACATCAATCTCCATCTTCATCGCATTCCAGAACTCACCGCACCGATGGCGGTGTCAATTCGAAATCCATAACCAGAGTCTGAAATCCATCGTCTCCTCCGTCAATTGTCTCCTTCATTGCATCATGTAAGGTGAAGACTCTACGCAGATCATTGAAATGCAGGATTCTTCGAATCTGAATTCTTAGTCACAAAACGCCAACGCGGTGGCGTTTCCATTTAGGTTGTTTCATCATATTACTCTATCAGGTCTGGTCAATTGTCTCCTTATTCATTGCTAGTTTTGGGATTTGTTTTACTGTTTTTTGGCACCATTTGTCAACGAATGGGTCCCCTTTTACTACACCAGATCCATGGCTATTAGAGTTCTAGCTAATTTTCTCATATTACTATATCAGGTACGTCTCTCTCTCTCTCTCTCTCTCTCTCTCTCTCTCTCTCTTACCAGTATACTGAAGAAAAGGAAATATATTTTCTTTTGTTGTGTAATGCCATTTTTAGCAATATCTTTAATTGTTTTCTAATTATATTATCTTTATTGTTGACCAGGAAAGGAAATTGCTGCCAGCTGGCAGGAGAAATGGATTTTACCTTGGTATAATGTCCAAAGTAGTCAGTTTCTTCTCCCTTACAGTTCATCTAAGTTGATAGCAACAACTCACATACAAGATTTGGGACACCAAGTATCTTTTGTGGTTTCTAAAATGTTTTTTTTTTGCTTTGTATTATGTAATCTTTCCAGCTTGGAGTAGGATCTTTTGTGGCGCATAGCCTCTCATCATTTCTGAATTCATTTCTTCAAAACTTTAGGATAAGTTAAGAAGTCCAGAACCTAGTAAGTCCCTCATTTTTACACTATTGGTTACTTTAAGGTTTAGAATATAATCTATTGATCTTACAGAAAAGTTTATTTAACCTTACAGGTTTCTATTTTTGTGGTGCTTGGAATCATTTTGTTAGGAGCTGGTTTCGGATATTGGCTGGTGAGGAAATATATTATTTCTGAAGATGGAGAAGTTGATGTTGGAGTTGCAGTGACATGTATTATCCTGGTAGGTTACTATATTCATTAATTAAACTCATATTTCCAAAAGTGGTTTTTAATGAATTCTATGTTTTACTTGCTTCTATCTAAGGCTTGTGTTATCTTTTTCAGAGCATGAAAGACACCCATTTGGCAATGACTGCAGTGGGGTCTTGTTTGGGTGTATACTACATGATCACGAAGATTGTAAGGCAAATGCCATGTAGGATCTATACAACCCTCAAAGAGCTCAACCTTGGTATGATGGAGAAGGAATGGAATGTATCATTCCATTGGAATGGATGATTCCTGAATGAATGTAATTCCTTCCATTTTCTAGAATTTATGAAGAGGAACAATTTTGTTAGCCCTAAAGTTACTTATGGAACAGCAACTGCTTTACAGGTACAGTTAGATGAATTTTGATAAATTCAACTATATATATGAGAAACTAATATCTTGCTCTTTGATAAAACTATTACAAAAAAAAATTACTAATTTCCTGTATTTCTTCTTGCAGAATGTATCATTCCATTTGAATGGACGATTCTTGAATGAATGTAATTCCTTCCATTTTCTGGAATTTATGAAGAGGAACAATTTTGTTTGCCCTAAAGTTGCTTATGAAACAGCAACTGATTTGTAGGTATAGTTGGATGAATGTTACTAAATTCAGCTATATATATATATATATATATATATATATATATATATATATATATATATATATATATATATATATATATATATATATATGAGAAACTAATATCTTGCTCTTTGATAAAACTATTATACAAAAAAAAAAAAAAAAAAAAAAAAGAAGTTTGCTAATTTCCTATATTTCTTCTTGCATTTGCATATTTGCTCTTAATATTGACGTTGATGCTCCAAAAATTAGAATTCTTATAAGATTAAATGTCTCATCAAAGTATAATAGTCATTTTCGTTTGGATTTTGGTCATTTTACATTGAGGAAAGAGGTATATTTTAATTAATCTATGGGAGATTTTCTGTTCCATCATTGATTTCTGATTTGGTGACAAATAAACTAATCCATTTGTATAATATATAAATGAAAATATAACTTAATTGAAGTATTTTGGTTGCAAACTTTACATATGAATTACATGTGATTCACATGTAATTTACATATGATTCACATGTAAATCACAAGTGAATCACATATGAATTACATGTGATTCACATGTAATTTATATGTGATGTAAATCACAAGTGAATCACATATGAATTGTAATTCACATGTAAATAACATGTAATTCACATATGATTCACATTTTAATCACGTGTAATTCACATATGATTCACTTGTGATTCACATGTAAATATGAATTACATGTGATTCATGTGTAAATCACAAGTGAATCACATATGAATTACATGTGATTCGCATGTAAATAACATGTAATTACATGTCACATATGAATTATATATGATTCACATGTAATTCACATATGATTAATTTGTGATTCACATGTAAATTACAAGTGAATTACCTATGAATTAAATGTGATTTATAAGTTAATCACATATGAATTATATGTGATTCACATGTAATTCACATATTAATCACATGTAATTCACATGTAAATCACAAGTGAATCACATATCAATTACATGTAAATCATAAGTGAATTACATGTGATTCACATGTAAATCACAAGTGAATCACATATGAATTACGTCTATATGCACCCATGCATTTTGTGTAAGTGTTCTTCATTAATTATTTTTTAAAATTTTCTTGTGAATTTCACATTTAAATCTTAAAAGATACAATCACATGTGAATATCACATTATATAATCACATGTGAATCTTACATGATATATACATGTGCGTGTTCTTGCATTAATCAATTTTCTTTTACTTTCCTGTAGATTTTGAAAAAAAAAATAGAAAATGTTGAAGAGGTGAAAAGTGATAAATTGAAGAAAATATGGAAATCTTGATATGAAGAAATGATAACACTGTGAATCTTTGTAGATTTTTTATATTTTACTTTGTATCGAATAAAATATTTGTATTATGTTTATAGATTGATTAATAAAAATGAGATTTTTTTTTAATTTACTTACGAATATTATAGTATAAGAAATATGCATATATGCATTTGAAAAAATATGCATATATGCACCTAAAACGTTGATTTTTTTGTTAAAAAAATTATAGTTTTTTATAAAAATCGTTTTTTTTAATGCAGTTTTTTTTCTAGAAAGTATGAAGTTTTTTAAAAAAATGGTTTTTTTTTTTGGAAAAAAAAAATACCGTTTTTTTTTTTTGAAAAAAAAATGTTGTTTTTTTTGATAAAAAGATGCAATTTTTTAAAAAATATTTTTTTTCATTTTTTTTTTTGAAAAATTCATGTTTTTTGAAAAAAAAAATTAAAAAATCTCCATTTTTGTAAAAAAGCGAAAAATATATTTTTTTTTTAAATAAATCCGAAATTTTGACTTATTTTGTTAATTTTTAGACATTTATATAAATATATTAAATAACACAAAAAAATTAAACATTAAATGAGATTGGTAAGATGACAATCATGTCCGTAACAAATTACTTTTGATCCAACACTCCGCTTTTAGTTCTCGGGTTCTTAGGAAACTTTGAGTTCTCAATCGATCTCAACCATATATATATATATATATATATATATATATATATATATATATATATATATATATATATATATATATATATATATATATATATATAATAAATGAAAGTTTTTTTGCCACATGTCCTCTTCTCATTCATTTGGACACATGGCATTTTCTAGATTTTTAAAATTTTCTATTTTCCACTTGTCATTTTGTTGTATTTTTCATTTTAATAATTTAAAATTTCACATCTAATGTGTAAGGTAATATATATATATATATATATATATATATATATATATATATATATATATATATATATATGTAAAGTATTTATTAGAAAGAGTTTATATATGTAATGTATTTAATACATTAAAGTCTCATTAATTTTAATAATTCAAATTTTTCTCATTTTTCTTATAAATTCAAACTTTTCAAATTGTTAAAATTTTATATTTGTTTTTTTTTAATTAAACTCATGTAATACAGAGGTCTCACACCTAGTTTTCTAATAAAAGTATAGTTTTATCTCTTTTGACATATGTCATTTTATTAAGCATCCTAATTAATGTATATTTTAATTCTATTTTTTTCATGTGTCATCCTATTATGCTACTAATTAATGCAAGTTACTTATCAACCTATTAATTCTTAATTTTAAATTTCCTATTCTAATTACATTAACATTAGATTAAAAATTAAAATAAAATTAATAGAAATTATAAGGTGATATAATTTCACATATTTGTTTAAATTAACGATTATAATTTTATATAATTAAAAAAATAACTTAATTAATAGTTTATTTAAAATAATTGATTTATAAATGTGAGTTCTCACTATAAAAGTTTGATTAATTTTGTAACCGTGGTTTCCACGGATTATAAACTAATATATATATATATATATATATATATATATATATATATATATATATATATATATATATAGGAAAAGTGAATATGTGACTGTCATGTATGTAATATTAGGTATAGAACCATCAAAATTAGCTTCATTTAATTAAACAAACACAAATTTTTTTTCATTGTTAGCTTATTCATAATGCTTTTGAGCTTATATTATTTCTGATTTCATAATTTATCCCCAACATCTATGTATTTCAAATGTGTTGTTTATATTAGACGTCTAGTAGGCTTCATAACTTTCTTTGACACCTACCATATGTATACTTGGATGGTTCTTCTTGATGCGTTATGAGAAGAGGTTTTTTGGGTTTTTGATGAACAATTTCACTGTTTCACTATAATTTTCTATATTAAATTTGAATATGAAGATTTATAGATAGTTGATAATGTATTATTATACATGGTTTTTGGTGCAAAATTAAATATTTAAAACTCTATAAAAATATATAAAAAGCCTATCATTTACTCTAATAGAAGATAGGAGAAAGATGGTAGAGAGATTTGATTGCATTTTGTTAAAACTATGTAGTTTTTTATGGTTCAATACCTAATTATAGGTACATAACAACCACATATTCCCTAAGCTATATATATATATATATATATATATATATATATATATATATATATATATATATATATATATATATATATATGTGTGTGTGAGAGAGAACAATACTTGGTCATCTCTTGAGTCATTTTCTGTTTCTATTTTACAGAATAGAGTTTTATTTTGTTACCGAGAGTAGCAATCACAACACTTTTTACATTACGAAAACAGAAATGTAATTATTAACAAACACCAACTACATATTATTTTTCCTATATAAAAGAATTAAATATATTCCAAAAACAAAACACACTAATCTAACATGCCATCAACGTTGAAAAAGGGTAATAACAAAGTATAAAAAAGAAAAACAAAAAAAACAAATAGAGAAATATCATGAACCGGAACAGTATAAAAAAAAAAAAAAGTTTCGGATTTCAAAGCCCATTAATTAAACCGCCCGGAAAGCATTCCCGTCGCGCTTGTTTACACCGGAGCTAGCATGAAACGCCGACTGCCTCGAGGGCTCCGCCAACAACTTCAACGTCAGCGGCGACGGCTCCATGTGGTGGTGGTGGTGGTCGGCAGTCTCTTTTAGGGTTAGCTGCGACGACATTCCGACGAGTTCATCTAAATTCAAGGGTTCTTTTTGCAAAATCGGAATCGGTTTCACCACACGATGATGAGATTCATTCGTTCCTCCGCCTTTACTATTTCCTTCTTCAACCGTAGTCATGTTCGACGGCCATACCGGAAACGGAACCGGAATATACGCCGGATAAAACGCAGGTATTATCGGCGGAAGCTCACTCGCAGTCACAGTCCCCGTCGCCGTTGACGCTTCTTCTTTCATCTCGTGTTTCATTTCCATGGATTGATCAGAATCAGGTTTCAACGAGAGTTTCAACGAGCACTTGGAGTTGTCGGCGTGATCTGTAGCTGTAGCTGCTGCCGGAGGGAGCATGAAATGATCTTCCGGTGGTTCTGCCGCCGCCTGTGTAACAAAACAGTCGTGATTGTTAAGCTGATTGAATTCGGATCTGAAATTATAAATTTGAAATGAAAAATGAAGAAGGAAGAAGAAAGAAGGAAGACGAACAGTATCTGGAGCCATATCGAAGAGGCTAGAACGTCTTTTTCTTCGTGTAGCACTGCATTGTCGTATGAAATACTTTTGAGCATGACTAGCGACTTGTGTAGGAGTTCTTGATAACACATAATTACGAGCTATGCCTCGCCAATCTCCTTTGCCTAATTTTTGGAGACCAAGTAGAAACAATCGATGTTCTTCTTCTGTCCATGGAGTACCTGCAATTACACATGCAAACTACTTTCAGAATCGTGAATTTTGTAGTAGTTGATGTAATGGTGTAAACGCTCTTTCAGAAAGCTGACTACTCACCTAATTAACCTTTTAGATTGCTTAATTGGAAAAGTCAAAATTCTATACAAAAATTTTCTTCTTTAAACTTGATGAAAGATGGGAAACATAAAGAGATTAGAATATTAATTTGTTTTATATTGGGAAGACACATGATAAACGTGGAATGATG